CATTATGCAATTGTGTTTATATTTGGTTGAATTTCAGAAAAAGAGGCCTACATGTGGGATGATACCTTTAAGTCATGTGCAACACGAAACTAAAAAGACGTTCCGGCAACAAACAATGATGAATTAAATGTGTCCTTTATTTTTCTTTGGCATCAGCAGCTTCCTGTGTTTAAAGCAGAGACTGATTGATCTTTCTCAGAGGTAGAAGAAGTAATACTTGCTTCAGCAAAAGCACCGTCACCACATTCCCTTCCCCTGCATTAGTATTTTAATCATCTAACTGCACCTCTAAATCAAAAGGTCTGTGGCAGATATTGTGAAAAATACAGAAAAGTAAATAGTATTTCTCTCTTAAAAGTATCACATTGAAGTAAAAAGTCGGACATCAGAAGTGAACTTTTCACCTTTGGTCATTTTTGTGCTTTTAATTCTTCAGCAACTGATTTTATCGAAACACGAGCTGCGAGCAAATGTTTGATTTGCATCCGAATCGATGGGGCAAACAGACATGTGGCAACTTTATGTACATGGAATCGTGTTTCCAGCTCCTTGATTAGTGTTGAGTCATTCTCCTTTTTAGCTCTGTTTTCATTTCCACTGGTTCCAGAGAAAAAAATTAACTTCAGGGTCTTCAACAGAAAAAAATCCTCCTGTATGTTCGCCAGCTAACCTCACCTCTCTCTACCTCCAGTATTTTCGCAGTGACTGTGAGCTCCCGCGTCACAGCAGGTAAACAGGAGACTATGTGTGCCCACATCCACGGCCCCACAGAGCCCGTCTCTCTGACTGTCTCCCTTGACGTGGACTCTGGCCGCACCGTCATCCTGGAGGAGGCTGTCAAACAGGACTTTCATCGCTGCTTGAGCTTCCAGGTCTGAGTCAACACATGCACACAGAAAAAAATAAATGTTGTCTAAGGGCGGCAAGGTAGAGTAGAGCACAACAAGAGTGTTGTCCACTTGTTAAATGCATTCTTAAGGTTTCCAGGCACAATGATGTTTCCTAATCCCCTAGCCCTCCATTAAAACTAATGGCTCAAATCCTGTGGTCATTATGTACCTAATTATCCAGCCGGCGCCATGACTGAAGCTGTCAACTCCGATGGTGCTCCGTAAATTACTGCTCTGGTTTCTGTCACATCGCTGCTCGCTGTTATGCAACCCACGGGCCTTTCTACATATTGATGCGAAACGATCCACCAACCCCAATTAGCTCTTTGACAATAGCACTTAGTTTCACTTCATTCCCCTTTGATTGGGCCTGGAGCACGACTGGTCTGGAATTTATTTATCTGGAACTAAACAGAGGCTGATTATGTACCTGCATTCCTGTGGGAAATACCCTCTGACCCCCTACTCTCAGTCTCACCACACACACACACACACCTGAAATATTTTGGAAGTAGTTCCAGTTCCTATTATGTAACAGCGGCTCCGTAACTAAGTGAAAACATATGCTGCACAAATATGACTGCACTTTATAATTAACCTTATATAGTGGGAGAGGTACGGTATTGCTCAATATCACAAGAGCCCAGATGGATTTGCTACCAAGTACTTATTCTGTAACATTATAGTTGACAGATGTTTCACTCCAAAGAAAGAAAATGAGGAAAAGCTCAATTCACTACAGAACAAATTGTGCTTCTGCATGAGACGACATTTAAAACTGCACATTTTCTTGTTTGCCACGTTCCTGTCTGAGACTCATGTGTGCCCTCCGGTCCTACAGGTCCCAACTGTGCCCAGGAGAACTGTGGCAAACATCAATGTGACTGTTCAGGGTGAGAGCGCCTCAATGATCAAGACGACCAAAGTTCTCATCGAGCCCCCTGAATTCATCCATATCATCCAGACTGATAAACCCATCTACAAACCCGGACAGACTGGTAGGTGTCTAACGTTATGAATCATCATCAAGAGGCTGGACGCATCAGAATATGATGAGGGCTAGAATCTGTTGTTTATAATCCACGTCTTTCTCATAAATCAGTGTGACTACATGTCTGTAACTGACAGTCTGCACAGGTTCCTCCAAAGGAAACTTTTCCTCTCTTCCTTTGAGCATTTTAAACCAAGGTAAAAAAAAAAAAAAAAATACAATGCAGGTTTCAAGTTGGGTTTTCCCCTTAATTTGTGTAATTGTTTTTGGAGCACGGTTTCATGTTTTAAACAGAAAGCCTCTCAGTCACGTGTCTCTCTTAAAGAGCAGCTAACACCTAAAGGAAAGTGTACGATTTGTTTCTGTCCATTAGCTTCATTTTCATTGATGGTTANCCCCCTTTTCTTTAAAGTCAAGTTCCGAATCGTGTCCATGGATACAAGTTTCATCCCTGTAGCTCGGGTGGTAAGTTTTATTTACTCTCTTCCAAACCGTGTGATACTGTGTGCAATCATTCCAAACAGTGAACTTTGCAGTGTGGTGTGTTTTCCACCGAGCAGTCGGTGAATCTTAGAGTGAGGTCTATTTTGGTTCAGGAGAGTGGGAGGTGAAAGGAAGGCTGTTTGTTGATCTTGAAGACAGCGTGGGTGTGTAGCGCTGTGTGGAGTAGTGTGATAAACATGCTGTCAGAGTTCATTTGGCGCACACTGCATTTGACCCAAACATCTGAGTCAATATGGGCTCAGGGCCTTTTCCGTTAGCGATGAGAGGCTGGAAACATAACTGTGTGCAGTGACTGTGAAATCCATTCAAATGTATCGCATCACGAGGGCTCGTAATAAATCCCATCAGTTAAAAAGGAGATTTCAAATAGTCTGAACGTAAAAGCTGAAATGTTTAGAATCTCAATGATTTTACACACTGAACCACAGCGTCAAACATTATGTACGTGCTTGTTTGGACACTTCATCTAATTCAATATTTAAACGTTTTTCGAAACACCCCCAAATTTTGCCGAACACACAAACTGCTAACGGACTAGTTTTATCTCTGTAAAACTTAACTAACTACCAAGTTTTACTTCTGTGAACTAAATGTATGGCCAAACTACTATTATACCACATTATGACAGTGCAAGAAATGCACTATTGTTCATTGATGTTTTGTTGTTTCTGTTTTCTTTCAGTACAAAGTGGTGGAGATCCAGGTGAGTGTTTGCATCAGGAATTGACTCCTGCCAACTGTATAGAATGTAGTTATATATGTAGTTGTATTGATATTGATGTATTTTTTCTAAAAACAATCTTCTGCATTATTTGAATGATAACCACATGACAACATTACACCGAGGGGCTTTAATATAACGCAGGTTTGAGCAGCCTTGAATAAATGTGTGTCTCTTTACTGTTTGTAGGATCCCAATTCAAATCGCATTGCCCAGTGGTTGGATAAGCCCATTGTCGGCGGCATCCTTGATCTTTCCCACCCAATGATTCCTGAAGCGGCTCAAGGAACTTACAAGATCACTGCCTCAACGGACAAAGGGGAGCAAAAATCCCACCAATTCGACATCAAGGAATACGGTCTGCTGCAGATACATCCTAACAAATGTCTTACGTTTGTCAAAATAACAAGTTTGATCTTTGTAATTTATGATATTTTGTTCCCTTTTCGCTTTAGTTTTGCCAAAGTATGAGGTAAAGGTCGAACTGCCCAGTGTCATAAGCATCCTGGATCAAGAGGCAATGCTAAAGATTTGTGGAAAGTGAGTGTCCCACTTGAATAGAACAGATGGAGGTTCACGACGTCACTGATGTTTAGGATGGACGTTATATATGAGGAGCTGTTTAGTTTAGTCACACTGAAAATGTAGTTCTTACTTTTGTCCTTCAATGTACCGTCAGTGTTGTGGGTGATATGACTTCAAAACAACATCACAATTAAATGAACGATTATTTCATCCCCCCCGGGCAGCCACCATACTTAGTTTTCTTTTTTTCTGAAGAGGATAAAAACAATTGTTGCTGTTTCCTGCAGATACACTTATGGGAAACCAGTTCAGGGTTCGGTCAAGGCAGTGCTTTGTAGAAATGCTATTCGGCATTACTGGTTTTCAAGAGCCAAAGCCAAGGATATCTGCAAGACGTACGAGCTGACTGTGAGTATACCAGATGAACATTCACTCTGTAGTCACTGTAATTTATTTTAAAATTTGACTTTCAGAATGTTTTTATGGGATCTTCTTTTATGCCTGTTTTTTTTTTTAAATTATCTTCCAGACGGATAAAAATGGATGTGCCACACAAACTGTAAGTGTGGCAGACTTTGCCCCCTACCAGACCACTTACGGGGAAAGTTTCGAGGTGAATGCTGAAATGGAGGAGTATGGCACAGGTAGGTTGACTGGCTGCCAGGAAATGTTCACTGAGTAATGAGCAGCAATTCCTAATGAGCTGATCTCTGTTTATCACCACCCAGGGGTCACTCTCACAGGCAGCGGGCGGACCACTTTCAGCCATTACATCCGAACTGTCACCTTTGAGGATGTACCCGAGTCCTACAAACGCGGCATTCCATTTGAAGGAAAGGTAATCTGTCTGGAGAGAATTGTCAGTACATGATATTATATTTCAGTCCAGACTGAAATATCTACTGTCATTCAGGGTCCCCACAGGATGAACCGTGTTGATGATCTTCCTGTTTTGCCAACAAAAAAGTTTGACGTTTCAAAGTTGACCCTCTGAGCTTGTTGGTTCAATGTTTCTGACTTGAATGCTGCTTGTGGTTCTTAGTTGTCTCACTCCCAAAGGTATTTGTTTACGCTGGGTTTTTAAGTTTCAACTCCTAGTCAGAAAAAACTTAATATCCCAGAATGCAGTTTACTCATCATTTGGACTTATTGAAGTCTGGTGTTTTTCACCCTGGACCCTATATTAACAAGCGTGGTTGTGTAAATGAACTGGTACTTACAACAACTTTTGGAATTAGCCGGCACCAGAACCCGCAGCAGTAGCTACAATAGCGACAATCCACGAAACGTCGCTCACTGCGAAGTCTCACTCTCAACCATGCAGCAGCTTGATGTCCCTCCTCCACTTGTTGCCTCTCATTAAACACTTTCCTTACAGACACGTTTGTAATGTTTTCAGGCTATTAGCAAATATGCAAAATTACAATTTGAGCCTGTAGTGGACATTTGTGATTCACCGTCCACTCTGAAAAATAACAAAAAGTTATTTAGGGTCTTCCCAGGAGGTGAATGCTTGTTTTTGTAACTCAACTATCACAAGCACATCAAACTTTATACTTAACCTCACAACTATTAGACAGGTAAAAATAAAATGGGCTGTAAATCCTCGTGTTCCCCAGAGTTGTGATAACTAACCTGTTCACTTGTCAGCAGTAAGTGAAATAAGATTGTGCATTGATATCAATATTAATAATATATACAGTTAAGACTGACTGATCACTTTGATGCTTATTAGATGAACCATTTCAATTTCAGACACTTTATTCTTGGTCCTCTTCTGCAACTTACAGAACTCTAGCACCATTCCTTATATGATGTCTTGCACTGTCAAAGTCAGATTGCCATGAATATTTCCGAGCACATTCAAGCTCCGAGAAGTAACAAATCAAATGACCACCTCAGTGACGTCACTGCAAAGTTAGAATTTGTATCCTTGTCTTGATTGTAGATCAAAGTGACCGGTCCAGACAATAAACCTGTCGCCAACGAGCTGGTGTACCTGCTTGCCTCCGCCTCGCAGAACGTCACGCTCACTACAGACAAGAAAGGCATGGCTTCATTTTCTCTGGACACGTCTCACTGGGGGGACACAGTGAATCTGCAGGTTGGTTACCGCTCTTCAGTATTTACTCACCTTCATTTACAATCCGCATCAAACTAGAAACTGTCATTGCATCCATTACGTTGAAGGTGGCCCACTCAGCCTAATATTCCAATCGCTCAGGGTCGTTTCATGTTTGAGATGTTGCGGTTGATAGTGGAGTGTGAATTTGACCTTTGACCTCTCACTGTTTATGTCAACAGGCAAAGTCTCAAAAGAACAACGACGACGAACCATATTTGTCGAACCAGCGTGGTCCAGAGTACAGGTCGGCCTACCACCATGTCTCACTGTTTTACTCTAAGAGCAGCAGCTTTTTGAAGCTCATGCAGGTCGGAGATAAGATCCCTTGTGACAAGGATGCGACTGTGCGTGCTCAGTACATCATCCAGGGGGAGGAGCTAAACAGTGGCCAGGAAGCGCTTAACTTTTTTTACCTGGTATGTGTCACAGGTCATTATAACATCCGTCTTGCCCTGTGTTGTTTTGTACTAACGTGGTCTATAAAAATAACATCACAGAGACATTTGTGATTCACTGGAAGCTCTGTTGATGACATCCGTCATGTTGTGAGATCACTTAGATGAACCTATACAGTAGAAACTGGATACAGTGATCAACCATTTATATGGATCAGAAAGCTTGGGACAGAATCCAGAATCTAAACATATCAAATAATCCACTTACAGTGCTCATGTTGTCTGTTATATTTATTCTCTGTTAGTAATTTACTGCTCCTCTCTGCGTCTCTATCGTTTGTGCAAACTGCTGAACTGAATCGAGCTAAACTGAGTGCTTGCCATCTCCTCTGGCTCTCCATACACTGACTGAGTTAACTGTTGTTATTATAATTAAAGAAATTAATGTTTAAGCAGAGAGAGAGAATTTTGACCCGGAACAAATGTGATCACGATAAGCAGTTTCCACTGTATTAGATAATCCTAATATTTAGTTAACCAATAATTAAACCCAGTCCTCATGGCTACATGCCGATGGCTCAGTGTCTAATAGAAGTTTTGCGGAGAAGAAGCAGATGTATTTCTTTCTGATTCCTGAAATCTGTCTTTCATTTCTTTCTTTTCTCTTTCTTTGTAGGTGATGTCCAAAGGAGGAATTGTTCAGCATGGCCAAGTCCCAGTGGCGGTTAAAGCAGGAACTGGTACAAAGAAAACGTGTTATTAAGCACGAGCCTAGTGATATTCTACATTCAACAAAGAAAGTCTTTACAAAGGCTGCACCCACATAACTACATTTTAGTTTTAGAACACATAAACTCTGCTACTCCATCGTTTTAGAGCTGTTAAAACGGAGAAGGGCGGGGTAATTCACTGAATTTCAATTACAGCTCTCAACGATCATTAAACAATTATTATCCTGTGTTCCGTTTTGCAATAAAGCTCTACTGTTCACACAGGCAGCATTTCTGCTGCGCGTCCTCGAAGAAAAGTCAGGCTCAGGACACTACAGCGTCCTTTCAGAACAGAAGCCCGTTATAGGTCCTGTATCTTTGTACTGTGCTGTATTACCCTGCAGCGAGTCCTCCCTCCTCACACTCCCGCTGACCTGTGCTCGCTTTACAGTTTTCAGTTAAGACGTAGCCTTTGCTGTGCAAGTGATTTCAAAAACAGATTACGCCCAGACGTATCCTCTTTCTGTCTTAGTGTGAAGCGGTTGAGGTTAACCGCAAGTGTGGGTTTTTTGCTTTGGGCCAACCTTGCAACTTATTAGCTGCATATAATATTTCATTAGGGCAAACAAGAAACATATAATTTGTGTTAGTGATAGTTCTGTCATGTTTCTTTGTCTCATTGTGTTTCATGCTTTAGTCAACAAAGGGGAGTTGTCCATATCACTCCAGCAGGTGGTTAACCTGGCACCGTTTGCCCAGGTGGTAGTTTACACTGTGATGCCCAGTGGAGAAGCTGTGGCCGACAGCCAGGACTTCCCCATTCAGCTCTGCCTCAACAACAAGGTTGCTTATGAAATGAATCCATTCCCTCTGATACATTTAAAAAAAAAAAAAAAAAACATGATTATTTTTATACACAATTTGAGGCTTGACTAGAGCAAAGACATAAACATCATCTAATTTGCTCCCAAACTAAGTCGACTGCACCTTGTCTGCCGTCTAGGTGGTTCTCAAGTTCTCGTCCATCCAGAGTCTTCCAGCGGAGAAGACCACACTTAGTCTCCAGGCTCACCCAGGCTCCGTGTGTTCTGTGAGGGCCATCGACCAGAGTGTCCTCCTGCTTAAGCGACAGCAGGAACTCTCCATCAGCTACGTATGTTAACATCTGATCCTGTGCCAAAAACGTTATGTGGTGTTTGTATTGTACATTACATAAACCCTTGGTTTTAGAGAGAAGTGAAAGAAGTGATTCATGAAACTGAGGTTGCGAGTGTTTTCAGTATTTACATTATCACTGTGTGGACCTCCCATCATTCAGTGTGCGGACATACCATCATCAACACTGGCGTTTTTGTGCAGGTGTACAAACAGCTGCCTTTACAGAAGATATCAGGATACGTGTATGAGGTTGATGACCAGGAGCCATATCCCTGCCTTGTTCTCTCCGCACCTCGTCGAGCGTCACGCTCAACCTTCTATCAACCTGAACAGATGAACGACGTCTACAGCATCTTTAAAGTAGAATTTTGGATAATTTTGTTTGGAACGGGCTAAAGGAGATATTGACATAGATCAGTGATATCTGGGCTATTTCTCTATCTCCATTAGTTTAGTCAACAATATTGTTTCTTTACACTTTTTATTCTAATTCTCTATCTACCTCTGACTCTAACTCTTTTTCTCTCAGTCTCTATTTACCTCCCTTTCCTTCTCTCTTCTATCTTTATTGTATTGTTTTATCTCTGGCTCCTTGTGACTCTATCTCTTTTTAGTTTTCCTCTAGCTGTTTATATCTAGCTTAATTAAAAACTGTTTACATGAGGTATAGCATCTGGGTCCACCACTAGTGATCAAATACTATACTATACTTGATGTCTGTCCTTTGGTTTTCTCAACACTCTGTCTCTCCTTCTAGGAAATTGGAATCAAAATTGTGACCAACTCCGATGTGAAAAAACCTGTTGACTGCGACGCGAGATATGACGTATTATATGACGCTGTAGACAATGGTACGATTTATATTATGCCACTATTGTCCACTTGCCGCTCACTCTCAGAAAAAGAATCTTGCCATTTTACTATAAAGTATATTTAACAGTGATGGCATCCCTCCCCTTCACACCTGAAGTTCATCTAGAAGGAACTGGAAAGGCAAAGGAGACTATTAGAACACACTTCCCTGAGACCTGGATCTGGGAGCTGGTTTTAGTTGGGTAAGTTGTGTAATTACTGTTTTTGTGTTGTTTTTTTTTATCCATGTATCCCTAGACGCCCTAGACTTTCCTGTCCCCATGGCCTTCAACATGATGCCACAGAATACAGGTGTTGTGCTGAAAGATAAAGAAGAACACAAGAAGGAAACCGTCAGGACATTCTTCCCTGAAACCTGGATCTGGGACCTAGTTACTGTGGGGTAATAATCATCAAGAAACCATCAAGAGATTATACCATTTGTTTCGTTGACTTTGTTATTACTTTTTTAAAATGTTCATTACAGTTTTCTAGAGGCCCTGAAGTAAATGTTAAGTCCAGATTGCTTTATAGATGCAACATCACATATTTCCCCATGTGAAACTAATCTAAACTATGAAGCTAAGAAGAAAAAAAACAAATACACACGTCTCTTCCGTGTGCAATAGCCAAAAGACATGTTGGTGCTGCATAGGAGCCCATCACTCGCAGTAATTGGCAAAACAGTTTTTCATTGTCATCAAATGTTAATGTATTAAATGTTTGTGTCACCACTGTTTCCATGTTTTAGCAACATAATGCGCCATGAGGTCCTCTGTTTTTAGCCACTGTAGCAATGTGTGTGTTTGAGGGTTTGGCACTTTTCTAAATATCATGACAGTTCACATATTCATGGCTAGTAACAGATTCCTCAGGGCTATGAGGATTGTTATGTTTGTTTTAAAACCACTGGTCCAACTCATTCACTTATTCTCTGAAATACCATATAGTGAATATATCGATAATTAGTGGTTGTGGATCGTGATAGTGGTGGTAGATTTGCTACGGACATCCACAATCCTGATGACTTTGTTGAGCCTCTTTGTTTAGATGCTACCATTCCATCAAAATTCCAGTTTACCCAAGACTTCGATTAACGATCAAATATTTACAAAACTATCCGCCTCATCTGTATTTTGTGCTTATTAGCAAAGAGTGGCATGCTAATGCAGGTTGCCACTGTCAGCATATTGGAATGTAGCTCAAGCACAGCTTCACAGTCTTGCCACCAAAGCTGGAGACTCCTGCTTGTTGGCTTGTTTAACAAGGAAGACACGAGTCATAGGTGCGTCCTAATGTAACTACATACATTACAATGATGTTTACTCAGCAGTCCTGTCTCCTCAGAGGATGGAGCTTTCCAAAACTAACTGTCTCACCACGCTTTTCTGTAAACTGACATGAAATTTGAAACATGAACACATTCATGTGTCCAGTAATCAGACTTTTTGGGAAACACGATGCTGCTAGAAGTTGTTGATATGTTAACACACTTGTCTGTTTGTGCAGTGACAGTGGTTCAGTGAATGTGGAGAAGACCGTCCCTGACACCATCACTAAGTGGGCAGCCGGAGCATTCTGCGTCTCCTCTGTCGGCTTCGGCGTGGCGCCCAGCATCGGACTGACGGCCTTCCAGCCATTCTTTGTCAGTCTCACCTTGCCCTACTCTGTCATCAGAGGGGAGGTCTTTACACTCAAAGCCACGGTCTTCAACTATCTCTCCAAATGCATTATGGTAATTATTTGAATGACAATGATGGATGGAATGACTTTCAGTTAGTTTCAAGTATGTAATACATATACTGTATTGAGGCTGTCAGCTCGTCAGGGTTTACAGAAATAAATCAATACATTCTTTATATTTAATCTACCTTGTCTCCTATATACACGCCTTTGTAATATCGTTATTTCTGAGTTGTGATGTCTTGTCTTTGTGTCTGCAGGTGAAGGTAACACTGGCTGAATCAAACCAGTACACTCTCAGAAACTGTGATGGCTGCCAGTACACTGTGTGTCTGTGCGGAGAGGAGAGCAGGACCTTCTCATGGATTGTTACTCCCACCGACCTTGGTATGGATGTTTTATTATATTTTGATTGTTTTAATTATATTATATCTGTTGTGCTTTATTACAAACTATATATGCTATATAGTTATTCATGTTCGATGCCGCACAAGGAGCTTGCACTGTTTGAAGGAAACGTCTTTGGGAAAACAAAACATGAATATTATGTAAATTATTATTATTCACAGTTAGATTATTTATTACAATTTATATATGTAGAAAAATCATGCGGCTATTTCATTTCAGTATCAAAATGAATTGAAATACTTAGTTCAATACATTAATACACGATAATACGGGTTTAACTTTAAAAACCATCAGTGGTGGAAAGTTATACTACTTGCTGTTCAGAGTAAAATATGTCATTTTATGCTCAGCTATGCTTATTTAATTTATTTAATAACTTATTTAAAGTTATTGTTCACTTGACAAGTTGAACAGTTTGCTCAGAACTTTGGGAGGCCAGTAAAAAGAAATCGGGTCAGTAAAAAATAAAAGTATGAGTAGTATTTCGAGCAAAAGCGTAGTCGGACCTTGTTTTGATGATAGTTAGAGGCTGTGATAAGACGATTGACAGAGAAATGGTGAATGAAACAAATTCGCCTACACAGCTCACTGATGCCCTGATCCCCCAGGAGACCATCCCCCAACTCTCAGGAGCATGTCCACACGTTGTTGGTAGTTTATACAGTCATGTGGAGGACACACACACACACACACACACACAAACTCCTGAGTCACATTATGAGTTGCCGTGATGAAATTCACACAAGTTGGATCAGTCTGTGATTTCATTTTTTTTTTTTTTACTCGATTGATTCTCGGTGTGGTTTTGGATCCAGCCCGTTACATCATTCTGTTCTCAACAATTACACAATTCATCAGTAAAGATTTTCAACATGAATAATTCGTTTATGAAGATCTGATGTGTGATTTAAGTGTTCCCTTAATTTTTTTAGAGCAGTGTACTTTCGGTGATGAAGATAAAACAGAACAAGCTAATTAATCCCTGTTAAAGGCGCTGACAGCTGTTGTGTCTGCACTGCTGGAAGCAAAGACAGCCGTCTGTCGTCGTTACGCTGCCTGGGCTGAAGGCAGAGCGTTTCCATCAGCCTCCATCAGCCAGGATGGAGATGAAGCTCTTGTGAATGCCAAATTGCACTCCTCTAACTCGCCCTTAGAGGAATGCTGACAATCACTTGTACTAACAAGTCAGGTAGTATCTCTGACGAAACACTCAGAAACCTCTCCCTCGGGGGGTGATCTGTACTTGTCCTCTGTGTGAAGGATTGTGGGCTGTGAGGGGAAGGAGGAGGGGTGTGGGAGATGGAGCCGTATGGGAGAGAGGCAGCATAATAAGGCAACAAATGGGGATTAATGAGGGCAAATAAGATAGGAAGCAGGGGGAGGAAGTACAACACGGAGAGGAGGGATGGAGGAAGAGTGTGGATAATGAGCTGGATTGAAAAGCAGATGGGAAGTGATTTTTGCCTCTGTGTGCAAAATGTGACTGTGACAGGGCAAGGGAGCCATAACCAATCCAAGGCTTTCAGAATAAGAGCATGTTTGTTTGTGTGTGTGCACACAGGTCAGGTGAAACTGAAGGTGAGCGCTGAGGCCCTGAAGACCGACACACTGTGTGGCAACGAGGTGACCACCGTCCCCGACATGGGCCAAATCGACACAGTGGTCCGCACCCTGCTGGTGGAGGTCAGTCCCGACGTGACACTCGTATAAGAGTTACCGATCGAACCGCGGTTCTCTGAGGTTGATAATAACAACCAGAAACACTGAGTTAAGCCTGATATCATGTGCGTGCGTGTTTGCACTAACATCTTGATTCCTTGTGTCTCCAATAGGCTGAAGGAACACCACAGATGCTCAGTCACAACGCTCTCCTCTGCCCTGCAGGTGAGCGTTCACAGACAAGCAGCTGTCTGAGAGCCTCCAGGCAGGCGGCCATGTTGACCGCCTCGCTCAGAGAGCCTGACAGATGGATGTTTAAAGCTCATTCTTATCTGGAGACCTGTGTTCGTCTGGGTCAAAGTTCTCACAGTTGTTTGCTTGTTGTCTTTACGCTGATGCATTGACATTTAGCTCATGATTTGTATTCACCAAAAAAATGTGTTGGGTGGTGGTGCTGTTGTTTCTTGACATATCATTTAATTTCAGAATAAGATGAATGAATATATATATAATGAAATGTAACTGGTTGTCATGTGTTGTGTTTTCTCTGTTGCCAGAGGGACCAGTGGAGAAGAAAGTCTCTCTTCTGCTGCCTGAGATGTTTGTGGCTGGATCAGCCAGGGCCTCCGTCTCTGTACTGGGTTAGCACCATCAAGATTTTAACTCTTTTGCTCTCTGCAATCATGACTCAGTAGAGCATTCCTCTGTTTGCAAGTTGAAATCATCTACCTTCCTATCTTTTGCTTCTGCAGGTGATCTGATGGGCCGGGCCATGAAGAACCTGGACAAGCTGCTGGCGATGCCGTACGGCTGCGGGGAGCAGAACATGGTGCTGTTTGCCCCCAACATCTTCATACTCAACTACCTGCAAAGCACCGGTCAGCTGACCCAGGAGATTCGTGACAAGGCGACACGCTTCCTGGAGAGCGGTGAGTCGTTAGGACCGCCTCTAAAGTCCGTGATGGCGTGTTTCTGTCCCACACAGGTTGGACCTGATGATATCATGACAGCTGTCTGAAAACAAAGAACAGAGAAACAAGAGATGGACTTACATACTATTAAAAAAGATGGATGTTTTTTCCCCCCACTTAATTCAAGAGCCTGGTCTTTCTCTTTGTGAGCAGGAGTTACTGATTTCATGTTCAGATCTTGTACTGCTTTAACTCAAAACCCTGCGCTGACACTCAAATATGCCCTGCTTGTGCTCAGATTTCCTCCTCTCCAGCTTCAGCCCTTCCCCCAGAACTGTAAAGATACTTCACTGATAAACATCTGGCCGACCACAGTCTTTCTGTGTTCAGTTTGCATGTTGTCCCCGTGTCTGCATGGATTTACTCCCACAGTCCAAACACAGAGTGATCTCTGGATGTCGGCCCTGTGATGTGTTCGTGACCTAAACCCGCCTCTTGCCCAATGTCAGCTGGGATTGGCTCCAGCTCCCCAGAGCGACCCTGAAAGGAAATGGATGAATGGACTAATAAACATGAGAATAACACTGAAGGAATCGATTCATTCCTCAGATACCGTCGTGGTCTTAATCCCACAAGTGTCCACTTTCTATCAGCTCTCTCTCACTTATATACAACACCAGTTCACCGAGGCTCTGGTCGTCTTTCGCAGGTCGACCCCCTGACGTGGGGTTAACCCAGGTCACTGTGCTGCTGGACGGGTTGTCAGTTGCACCACCTCTCACTGAAAACAGTTTGAATCGTCTGGTCTGCATATTGCTGTCTGTCATTATCTGAGTATTTAACCTTTTTTAAGCTTCAACAAGTAAATGCACGACTGATGCATTCAGTGAAGTGACTTCATTCAATTGGGACTGTGAATGAGCAGTTTAATGCTAAAGGTCTTGAAGGAGCATTATGATGTAAATTTGACTGTGTGTGTCTCTGTGTGTGTCTCTGTGTGTGTGTGTGTGTGTGTGTCGTAGGGTATCAGAGAGAGCTCACCTACAAGCACGATGACGGCTCGTACAGCGCCTTCGGGAAGAGCGATGAGTCCGGGAACACCTGGTCAGTAGCAATGCACGCACACACACTTCAGTATCATGAACTAGTAGATGCTGCTCAGGAAACGAGCACGAGACAAAGAGATTGTGTGTTTGACTTAAACAAATGAATGTAGAGCAGCAGCTTCTCTAAACCTTACAATATTTAACTTGTATGATGATATTAAACATTTTACACCAGTGACAAAATGTGTGTCACACTACATTTTATATTATTGTGATTTACCAACACTTAAAACTGCACACATAGATTTTAGAGGCTTTTCATTTTGTCATACATTTTTGGTCGTTTTTGAATCAGTATTTCCAGTTTCTACATTTTAGTTGAGATTAAATAATTATTTAGATATAAGTGTAAACTGAGAAGGAAGCACTTATCTTAGACATGACCTGTTTTTTTTTTTTTACGTCATAAAATTACCACAATAAAGAATTAATTCTTGAAAAAAAATAAAAAACCTTTATTTAGAGCTTTGCTGATGAACAGAACGTTTTCAGCTCAAATCTCACACTTCATTTGATGAGAAAATAGAAAATGACAAGTTGAAACGGTGGGAGTTAGACACACACACACACACACAGTGTCCTCTTTGCTGTTTGGCACCAGCAACCACTCTAATAATTTTACTTTCTGAGGAACATGCCAGAACATATTAATATTTTCATGTAATGGGCTTACAGCACGGAGCCTGCGGGGATTTAACAAACCCTCTGCTGTTTTGAAAGGGTGCTGGGCAGTTTGGCAGTTGGTGTGTGTGTGGGTGTGTGTTTGTGATTAGGAGAAACTAGGGCTCTCACTTGTTCGGTTACATTAGAATCCCATCTGGATATTTGATGAAAATCGCTGCATGCAGTGATGTAGAACTTTGAAACTTTTATTAACGTGTGAGGAAATAAATTGATGTGTGTTGTTTCTGTATTGCTGCTTTCAGACTTGCACTGAACTCCGCAGATTCTCCGCACTTTCTCCACAGTTGCTCTTAGTATCGTGTTTGTGTGTGTGTTGTAAAGAAAATCACGAGATCTCCGCAGCAGAACTAAAACGTTACCTCCTGCCTCTGGCTGCTGCACCTCCCCCTCACCTGGATAATGCGGGGGAGTTGTTGCTGTTGTGAACGCGTCTGTGCAGAGGACGCTCCCCCTGCTTTGTGCATGCAAACAAAAACTGCAGATAAAGTCCAGACCCATTTCTCTGGATTTTATCTGCAGGTCACGTCTAGAAACGGATTACGTAACATGAAAGAGTTGCTCTGCTGTTTCCCTCTCTGCCACTGGCGTGGGCGGAGCAGGTGACTGAATATTTTCCTCCTCGTACATTCATCACGGTCACACATTTGTGAAAATGTCTGGAACTTGTCATCTTGGATCTAAATGAAAATGATTTAGCGGCAGCGGTGCATATTAGCTGTTGGTTGTGATTGGCCCAGAGGACGGATGGAAATCTGAACGAGAGCATCTGCAAGAGTGAATGAGTTTGAGCTCGCTGACGGGTGTGGATTCCAGCTACATCCACCACGTGAAAGATGTGATGGCTACTGTTGAATTAGAAAGTGATAAAGTGACAGTGTTAGTTTTGTGCAGCTACCTTCACATAGTCTGTCTGTGGAACAGATAGAAAGCACAGTGTTAGTTTTGTTGCTGCAATGCTTAATGTCGAGCTGAATTACAAAACGTTTGTATATTAAGTGTATTAAGTGTGTTTATGTGTGTTCGATCTTCCAGGCTGACCTCTTTTGTGATGAAGTCCTTCGGTGGGGCGAGACCGTACATTTTTGTGGATCTCAAACACATAACTCAAGCCAGGAGGTGGCTGGAATCTCACCAGCAACCTGATGGCTGCATCCGATCCGTCGGAAAGCTCTTGCACAACGGCATGAAGGTAAATGAGCTGAGATCTATGATATGTTTCATATTCCTGCACTGGTGAATCTGTCCTGTAAAATAAAAATCACAAGTAGCTCAGTGTGAGGATTCGTTGGAGCCGTGGATGTTTGCAGAGACTGGAGATTGCCCTGGGCCTGAAGTGCAACACACACACACACACACACGCACACACACACACGCACACACACACACACACACACACACACATTAAGGGTTTCCAAGTGGGGGGCAGGTATCTGTCTTCAATTTGTTATGAAAATCTTTTTGTCAGCCGAGTACTGAGGATTATTATTGCGTGTAAACGTTAAACGGTATCACTGTGATGAGCAGGAGAGTCGACACACTCTCTCCTCGTGTCCTAATTACATCATAAATCTTGTTTTAATGAGTGAACCATCACTTGGTGTCCAACAGGATATGAGATGAGCTGTTCTGCTCTTACGCACAAGAAAAGAACTTCAGAATGACATCCAAGTCTTTTCTGATAAATTTTGGCTCAGTGGCAATTAAGACGCTGGTGACAACTTCAAATGGTGTTTGGACGAGAAGAAGGACGAGTGTTTCATCGTCGTGTTTATTGCTCAGGTTTTAAAATCCCCGAAGTGACCTCAACATAACTAATGTCTGATGCTACAAACAGAGGAAGTGACGCCCCGGTGGCTTGTGGGATAAAAACATCAGCCTTGAACTGTTTGAATCCAGACACGTGTCTGCTGTAATGAAAAAATAATTCTTATGTGGGGAGAACTGCAGTAAATGTGTAAGGCAGTTCAAAAAAGATTTTATACAGGACTAGTTTCTTAAACATTGTGAGACGTTTTTTTAAACCTTTTCATTGTTTTCCCAGGAAATGATTCCTGGATCTTGATTTATAAAAAAGATAGTGAAGTGATATCCGAGTGTGCAGCTTGATTTTGACTCCTCCTTCCACGCTCCTGTGTTTTCCTGAAGGGAGGAGTGAGCGATGACGTGTCCCTGACGGCTTACATCACCGCCGCCATGCTGGAGCTGGACGTCAACGTCACGGTGAGTCTCAGCTTTCCATGTTCAGGCTCGGTTGACCTCTCGCTGCTGGAGCCTATTTTAAATCTGATGAAATATTTATTTAAAATCATCTTCAAAAATTACATTTTTAAAACTGCCTGTGCCGGGAGCCAATATTTATGTTCATTAAATGAGTTATTAATTCATCATGTTGAAGATATATTTGCAGACAGGAAGTTAAACTGAGGAGCATTGAATCACACGCTGCCTTGTAGAGATGTTAATATCTAAATCTCTCTGTTCTATTCCTGTGATATGGTCATTTACGTACTTTTCAGCTTCCATCACTATAAATGCTGCTGTGTACAGTTCCCTCCGCTCTGTGATTCATGGGTTAAATCCACAGGTGAAGGTGAAGGTGTTGTCGAGAGTTCCTCAACATCAGAGAGCTGTTAAATAAATAAATGAATATTCAGAAACTAGCTGACTGGTAGATCTGTTTTATGATGTCTGATATTAATTCAACTCGGCCTCATCTTTACCTTTGCTCGCTCTTTCACAGGATCCCTTCATGCAGAAGTGTCTGAGCTGCCTGAAAGGAGCCGTGGCCGTTCAGATGGACAACCTGTACACCACCGCCCTGCTGTCGTACACCTTCTCTCTGGCTGGAGACCAGGACACGAGGAGCAAACTCATCACATACCTGCACCAGAAGTCCAGCTCACAGGGTAACGCAGTGAAACCACCAGCAACACGTGCACTTCTGCTTTTTCAGTTTTTTTGATTTTACATGATCTGTGGAAACAATTACTCCAGTCCTGTGTGAATCTGAGATATTAAGAGAATCTCTGTAAGAGTTTAGAGATAATCTGCGGGCAGTAGACCTACATGAACACAGGAACCTGCTAATGGATGATTCTTCCGTGGTGACTGACAGGCGGCACCCGTCACTGGGTCAGAGCCGGGGCCTCAGACAAAGGCCTGGACTCCCTGGAGGTGGAGATGACCTCCTACGTGCTGCTGGCTCTGCTCTCAGGTCCCAGAATGCCTGACTTCGGGTTGGAATACTCCTCTAGCATCGTCCGCTGGCTCGCTCAGCAGCAGAACCCATATGGCGGCTTCGCTTCCACGCAGGTAGGACAGATGACACACAACACTGGTGGTTTATGGGGAAACTCATCAACCTCAATTGACTCTAAAAACACATTTACCCTTCTTCTGCTCCTCAGGACACGGTGGTGGCCCTTCAGGCGCTGTCTAAGTACGGAGCTGCCACCTACAGCGAGGAGGGCAGCACAGCAGTGAAGGTGACATCATTAGGAGGCCTGAGCAAAGAGTTCACGGTGGATCAGAGCAACAGGCTGCTGCTGCAGGAGGAGAAGCTGGAAGAGATCCCTGGAGAGTACACAGTCAAAGCCCAGGGACAGAGCTGCGTGCTGGCACAGGTACAGAAGTGAAGGGTGCAATGTAGGAGAAATTAAAAAGTAAAATGATGGGGTGGTAGAGCTCGTACCACTAACAAGGCTGAGTCCTGCAGTGACCTGGGTGTGCATGTCATCACTCCTGCTACCGGAGCCCACAGTGGCTCCCGAACCATTTACTGGCTTCAGCAGAGCAACTCCGGACATTCACCCCTCTACTCAGTGGAAGTTTGAATTGAAAAGTGCCGGGGCCTCGGACAGTGAAGGTTGTCAGTCATTGTGTTCACTGTGAAATGTGTGTGTGTGTGTGTGTGCACAGATCTCCATGCATTACAACATCCCCCCTCCCCCGGACTTCTCCGCCTTCAACATCTCCAGTGCCACCATGGCCAAGTGTAACACCAGCAGACCCCAGCTCATCCTCTTTGTGCATGTCAGGTAGGTGTTTTTATTCAAAGTTTACCAGATCTCACTGGTCGATCTACAAAGTGGTTTTCTGCAAATTTCGTATTTTCTTTTTGAGCCTCTTTCTCCTCAAAATGACCGACAGCTCCACCTCAGTCAGCTGTGACCCACATGTGAGATCTTTGTCCATGAACACGTGCTGAGACAACAAACCCATAAAAACACGATAACTTCAGCTCTTAGTTCAGAGGGTCCGTTCTTACAGAGCTATTTTTATATCGACATGAACCTGCTGAAATTAAAGCTAAAGCGAATAGTTACTCTCATGTAGTATAAATGTTTTTATTTCAAATTGTATATGCTGTAGCACAGAGCTAGAAGACAAAGAAAACCCTGATTATATTTTGTGTGTGTGTGTGTGTGTGTGTGTTTGCAGGTACCAGGGCAGGAGAGAGGAAACCAACATGGTGATCATCAACATCAAGCTGTTGTCTGGATACCTCCTGGATAAGAGCTCCTTGGATCTGGTGAGTCCTTCAACTGAAGCAGGAGTTTAAACACTGAACCCGTTTGTGTTGATGAGTAAACTCATCAGTGTCTTTGCTGCTGCAGCTGAAGCGCGACCGCTCAGTGAAGCGCGTGGACGTGGAGGAGGGATACATCAACATCTACCTGGATGGGGTAGGAAGCTGTGTGTGTGTGTGTTTGTACAGCTGCCTTTGTGAGGACCGGTTTCAACCTACGTAGTGAGGACATTTTGGCCTGTCCTCACTTTATGACCCCCCCTCCCCCTCCTTTAATGGAGTGTTCGGGGGTCAGACTTGGATTGAGGGTGTTAGAGTAAGACACTTAGTTTGGATGGTTAGGGTAAGGGGCTGGTCCTCACTAAGACAGCTGTACAAACGTGTGTGAGAGGTGTGTTCTGTAGTATTAGTATCAGTGATCAGGTACATTTTCATATTTGAGGTTGTAAAATAGAATTTCATCAGCGGCCTGTTGTGTGTGTGTGTGTGTGTGTGCAGCTGAAGAAGGACGAGTCAAAGATACACAGTGTGACTCTGGAGCAGGATATACATGTGAGGAACCTGAAGCCAGCTGTGGTCAAAGTCTACGATTACTACCAGACAAGTAAGAACCTCTTCACCATCACTTTCTCTTCATTCCATCTGACGGATCAGTTTTCTTCCGTTTTCAGACACGTCCCACCCCTCGCGCTTCTTTCTTCGCAGGCTTCTCAATTTGCTCTTTCCCGTCGCTCACTGTAGAACTTCTCATGATTGGTTTTTCTTTGCATCTGCAGGTGACGAGGCGGTTACTGACTACACATCCCCCTGTGCAGAGAGTAAGTCCAGAAAGTAGATTGAATGTCTCACAGGGACATTCTCTTTCACGCGTTGTACTGCTTATTTTTAGTCCTCGTGAACCCCTTGAGAGAAGATCTTCAAATTTGGCACAAACGTTCAGTTGGACTCAAGAATGAATGATTAGATTGAGGCGGTAAAAAGATCGGTGACAAAGTCCACAGTGTTGTTCTTGTGATAGTTTCTGTGAATGCAGATATAACGTGTGCGTAGTTTAAATGTGAATGTTTTCTCTGCAGGTGACAGCGTCAACCTGCTGTGAAACCTCCACCTGGAACCCTCCGCTCCGTCCTGACGGGTGCTCTGTCAGAGGAACCAGTGTTAGAGAAAGAAACCTCTAGATGTTTATTTTTCTCTTTCTCCTTTTAAACATTTTTTAGCTTTTTCAATACGTGAATCCAACTCTTAGTGTAATTTTAGGAAAACATTTAAACTTTTTTTTGTTTTTGTTTTTGCTATTTCCTTTTGTTCTACTTCCTGGGACACAGTCGGCTCGTCCACTCAGTAGTGACTGCTTCTCTCTCCTCAACACTGGAACCTTTATTATAACTTACTGAATTCAAGAAAAGCAAGACAACAACTCTGTAACAGCTTTGTTTTTTTTAATAGATTTGATAAAATCCATATTATTCATACCTGAACGTGACGCATGAGACCTACAGGGTACCAAGAACACAGTATGGTCCGAGTAGTGTGTATGTGTGTGTATGCAACAGGAACTACTTTCTAGAAAACAAAAGTACAGTCACATGAGTGCTAGGTGAGTTATTCTGTGTTCTGCTGTAGCAGTAATAAAAAAAGGTAGATTGATACATTACTACCATACAATTTTAAAATGTAACTGACTGACAATAAAATTTCTAAAATGACAAAAATAAGTAAAAATTGTACTTGTTTTCATACAATACTGTTTCATTTCAATAGTAAGATCATTTTTTATGATTCAGGCATCTTCTACAGTATATTTAGATTCCTTTCTTTTCGACATATATAACAACAGTAATGTATATACCATCTACCATCAACAGACATGATTTAACAGCCTTGCCAGTGTTGAATAGTTTGGTTTGCACATGTTAAAAAGGCAAGGGGGACATAATATATTAAGGTCTTTTCACTTGTCTTCTACTTCAAGTTGTAGAAGTAAACACGTCACTACCTCAGGCACCACAATCATAAATTATCATCACTGTACCGACACATGAAACACAACAAAGGTTCCACATGCTCCGTTAATCACAGCGTCAGGTCTGTCCTCTGCTTCGACGCAGCAGAAAACAGCGTCCGGGATTCACAACGTCACGACAGTTACAGTCTGTTAAAGCTGCAAAGTTTCTTTATCTGTCCTCGTGCACGCAGGCCTCCGCTCACAGTGGGGGTTCAAAGCAGGAAGTGAAGTTTTTCAGAGTTTGGTTCGAGTCAGAGTGATTTATTGATGGTGGTATTTAATAATGCGGCAGTAAATTAAAGTAGATCACTTGGTTTTTTTTTAGGTAAGTAAGCCTGGTATTCAGTTTGAAACCAAAGATCTAGTTTTTACTTGAAATAATATTCTCTATTTTCTGAGTATGGTTCTTTTTCCACAATCCACATTCCAGCTGGTTAAGTTGCAGGAACAGGAGATTTCAGACTTTCAGTCTTTGGTTTGGGTGAAGAGAACAAAACACTACACGTCTTTCATCAGATCCTGTTTGACTGGTGAATGCCCACATCTTTCAAACCACCGAGTTCGGAGCAGATTAGAAATGTGTCGTCTCCGAGATAAAGTTGAGATGACGTTGATAACAAGGCAGATTTATCACGACGACTCCTGGCTCCTCCTTAGACTGGGGCATTTAAAAACACATTTTGTGTATTCAGGTTGTTTTTTTTAAATGAATGTTGATCCCCAGTGTGATCAGGGCCTCTGATACTCCGCCTGTAATGATGCTACAGGTAGACGTCCACATTATAAAGACATTAACCTCATGATATCTGTCCACGCGTCATCACAGCTCCGAAACTCATTTCAATGCCTTTAAATGAGCGCAGCCTCCCAGTGAGGCTGTGCTGGACTCAGACACAACATCAGTAACAACACGTAGTCAAGGCACAGTTCTGAATTGCAACAGTCCGTATTGTTAATCGTGTGCGGTCCTGTGTGAGCGTGGTCTCTGTAGCGCCCTCTAGGGGTTGTTGCTTTAGGCTGGCAGTGATAATGGCAGCTTCCCGGCTGTGTGGTCGCATTATCAAGTTAGCGAAAGGCTACTTGGAAAACAGTCAAGCTTCTATTAGTTTGTTTGTGTGCACACGTGGACGTGCCGTTTGCACCTGGAGGTGGCGACATGATGGCGTCATACAGACACAATGAGGAACTCCTGTTCAACGTGTTCACAAAGAATGTGGCGGCTATGGTTTCACCAATATACAGTTTTTCTATGGGAGTCGACCTCGGCTGATTCCTCTTTGTGATGATTCGCCACTTTTTTAATTCATGGTTAAATATTGTAATTATTTTCAATTTAAGAACAATGGAAAATCTCCAGTTGAAGTAGTTTCAGGTTTTGGATAACACGCTCATTTTCTTTCTTTAGAATAAGATATTAATAACACTCTCGTGTGAGTGTAGGTTAAATATGGTGCTATGGAAAATTGCCGATTCGCTTTAGCTCAGCTTAAAATGGAAAATGTGGAAAAACTTAATCTGGCTCCGTCCAAATATTCAAATATTTCCAAGTAAGGCAAGCTAATGTTTTAGGGCCAGTCTTTATCATATGCTAAGCTAATCGTCTAGTGCATCTAGAACACAAATGAGCGCAATGCATTTGCTTTAATGCTAAAATCGGCACAGGCTTTTATCAAACTCCATATTGGGAAAAACCATAGCATGAACTCCTGAGCTGTAGTCGGTCCAAGTCTAACAAAATGGCTCCAATTACTTTGTTGTATGTGAAATAACACAAAAGGGAGTGACGCTCTCTATACCTTCATTATAGCTGAACTTGATTTAGTGTTAATCTGCAGGAAGCAGTGCTTCACTGCGTCGCTGGACTCGTGGATCGTCTCCGGCTGACTGAATGGTTTCTATCATAATTTATAGATTTGTACAACATTTTGAATTACGATTCTTTCAAATATATTTTTAAAACGCTTCCGACCCATGACGATCCTTTCAAACTCTTTTCTGTCTAAACTCAGCAATGTCGTGATGGAACAAACAAAACATTGGCATTATGTCATTTGGCAATTTTTTCAAAAAGTAAAAAAAAAGAAGAGTAAAACGAAACAAATCATACAAAAGGTTCAACAAACAGTAACTACAAGATCTCCATTTGGCAATATAGAAAGGCTTTTGAAAATTCTCTGACAGGTATACATTTTGGTTTATATACAATTGTGTGTGTGTGTGTGTCCTTCAAGGGCTCCCTTTTTAAATCCAAACAGAACGACATAGAAAATGTTGAGGTGAACATCTACATGGTAAAATCAAACTGTGAGATTCAAAATGAGTAACAAACAAGGCGCTGTGTCTCCTGTGGGCCTGTAGAGTCTGTCCCTGCCGAAACTATTTGCTCGTCACCTGCACTCTGACCGCCGCGTCGCGTGTCTCTCAGTTCATGAACTGTGTGTATCCCTCGGCTCCTGTGACGATAACGTCCATCCAGATCCTCATGGCCTCCGCTGAGGGGGCCACCATGTAGTAGAGCCGGTCGTGGGTCTTCACGCAGAAGGTCAGCGAGGTGTTGGGGCTCTGAAGGAGGGAAAAGAAAAGAAAAACTAGATGAGACGTCCAGTCCCACTGCTGCGTTCACTAACAAACTCCGAGCCAGTCACCATACAAACTATTCAGACCCTTTACTTTTTTATTTATTGTGTTGAGGAGATAATTCTTCATAGATAATATAAAAAGGAAATTCTGGTATTTTTTACTTTTACCAGTTGATCGCTTCCGCTGGCAGCCGTGAAAGTTTACACGTGCCATGTGATCTTACGGGGTCTAACTGCGACAGTTCATGAAGCGTCCATTAAAAGTGCTTCTCTGCACCAAGACTGTTCTGGTTGTTTTTTATGAGTACCATTTTTT